CGCTGCTCAACGCATCGTCATTTTACCCTGTCTGTCCTTCAGTGCAGTTCCACTGAAAATAGAAACTAGTCATTTATCATGTTGGTGTTTTGTGGGAGCTTGCTGTGCAGAATTTGGCTGCTGTGCTTCTCTACTTAACAATGGACTACATTTCAACAGATTCAGGCAGAAGGCATCCAGTCGAATTAGCCCACCTATCCAACATTCTCTTGGTGCGTCTCTAACCTAGAACCCGATTTGCCAAGCAGAACTAGTTTAGTTTCGTTGTGAAACCCATTAACGTTTCTTGCTTGACCATCCATAGTTGTGAACTGTTCCATAAACTGACTACACCTTATGGTAAAAGAAATCCTCCAGCATTTTCTTTCATTGTCTTTAATTTGTAAATATCAGCCTCTTTGTTTAAATTCTGTGCAAAACCCATAAACCTACATGGATCTGATTTATCATCATTTTACTCATTGTACTTCCACGTGGACAGTCAATTTTTTCTCTTAAGTTATTCCCTCAAGTTCCAGGGTTAACTGTGTACCCCCTCCAATAATTGTGTAGCTCTTTTTGAAATAGACTAAAACTGCATGCTGCAGTTTAGTTATGATCTAGCCAGGAACAAATATAGTTTTGAATTCACATCTCCAGACATAAACGTCACTCTTCTTGCTATTCACCTCCACAATGTTTTTAAATCTTTGTAAGAAATACTTTCCAGATACATTTCATGACTTGCACAGTTACATTCCTGGAACTGATTCCTGCTCCAAACCTCAAGTACATGCTCATTTAGCACATTATATACATTAACATTGCATTATTATGCATTTTGGTGGATTGAATTTCAGAATATCCCTTAAAATTTGTGCCTGTTGATATTGATCACTTGCAACTGCTTTCAATTTTGCAAATGCCAATCAATTAGAAACAGCACAGGATGTTTGATACAGAGAAAAGTATTGTTAAGGACAGCAGATACGTGGAAACACCATCACTTGCATGCTCCTCTCCAAGGCCATCACAATCCTCACTTGGAAATATATCACTGTTCCTTCACCGTCACTGGGTCAAAATCCTGGAACTATTTTGGATGTACCTACATCAAATGGATAGCAGTGGTTCAAGAAGACAGCTGACCACTAACTTCTCAAGGGCAATTCGAGATGGGCAATAAATGCTGGCCCAACCAGCAAAGCACAGATCCCCTTAACTTAAGAAAAGATATTTGGCAGAAGGAGGATTAACGTCGATTTTAAGTCAAAAGATTATTTCTGACCTGCATTCCTTGTTTCAGGTAGGGCCTATGTCCATTTGCCGCCAGCAAGATAATGGCCACCAAATCTAACTTCACAATTGCTAGTTAAATGATAAATATTGGTCAGAACTTCCTTGTTCATCTTTGAACAATACCAGCTTGTTTTCTAAATTTGCACGCTGGGCAGTTAATGCCTCAATTTAATATCTTATCTGAAAGAGTGCACATCCAACAATACTGCATTCAAGTGTCAGCCTAGATTATGCACAGAAATCTCTGGAGTAGAACTTGAATCCATGACCTTTACAGTTAGAAGCAAGATACACTGAGCCACAGCTGACACAAGGAAGAAAATTCACCTCTTTGTTTGGAATTAAACAGCAAAGAATACACTGGTGAGCTGGCATTACAAGGGCAGTGAAAGGTTTGTCTTTTCAGGGGCATGTAGGTATGTTGACCTTCTATAATCAGTGTCTGTACAGCATCAGCTGACCAATGTTAGTTAAGAACAGGAGAAAGCCATTTAGCCCAGGGCCTATTCCATCATTCAATGACATAATGGCTAATTTGCAACTTAACTCCATACACCTGCCTTTTCCTAATTTTTAATTCACACATGGGAGTTGCTGACTGGGTCAACATGTATTGTCTGTCCCTAGGTGCCCTTGAGAAGGTGGTGAGCTGTCTTCTTGAACTGCTGCAGTCAATGTGCTGTAGGTCGACACATAATGCCAGTAGGGGAGGCAATGGCCTAGTGGTATTATCGCTGGACTGTTAATCCAGAGACCCAGATAATGTTCTGGGGACCCGGGTTCAAATCCCACCACGGCAGATGGTGGAATTTGAATTCAATAAATATCTGGAATTAACAATCTAACGGTGACCTTGAATCCATTGTCAGGAAAAAACGCATCTGGTTCACTAATGCCCTTGAGGGAAGGAAACTGCCATCTTCACCTGGTCTGGCCTACACGTGACTCCAGACCCACTGCAATGTAGTTGATTCCTAATTGCCCAGAGGGGCAATAAATGCTGCCTAGCCAGTGACGCCCTCATCCCGTTAATGAATAAAAGAAACAAGGAAGGGAATTCCAGGATTTTGACTCAGCAACAGTGAAGGAATGACAACATATATTTCCAAGTCAGGATGGGGAGTGGCTTGGTGGGGAACTTGGTTGTGGTGTCTGCATGTATCTGCTACATTTGTACTTCTAGAAGTGATAGTGAGTTTTGAAGGTGCTACTAAAGGAGTCATTAATATCTTGCAAAAACATATTAGTTTATAATTAACAAACAATCTAGCATCAAATGCCTTTTATCAAAGAGAGTTCTAAATGAGAGTTCTACACTCTGTGTGTAAGTTGTTTATAACTTCTTGAAAGATCTGATCCTAATTTGAAGACTAGTCCTTTTGCATACTAGATACTTCCCCAACCTTGGGAATAATTTCTCTCTATCTGCTATTCCAGTGTCGCTTTAAGTATAAAAACTTTATGAAATCACTCCTTAATCTCTTAAATTACAAGGGTATCAACTCTAGTTTGTTTAATCTCTCTCTGTAATTTAAACCCTTGCTGTCCAGGTATCATTCAGGTACATCCACACTGCTAATGTATCTTTCACAAACCATGGTGTCCAGAAATCCTTACACTATTCCAGGTGTGATCTAATCAGGATTTACATAACTTCAACCATATTATATTTTGGTCTTGTTGATATGAAGTCCATCATTTCATTTGTGTTTTGATCATTTTCTGTACCTAGTCACAACATTTTAATGATCCATATTGAAACCCAAGTCAATTGGGATTTCCACAATTTCTAGTTTTTCACCATTTAGAAAGTACCTCAATTATGCATTTTCTAATTCTGAGGTTGCTGATTTCACACTTGACTGGATTTAAATCAATTTGCTGTTGTATACAATGCCAGCTATCTTTGTGCTGTTGGTAAACTTGGATCTGGGCCTTTCAGGTCCACCATCTGAGTCGCTGATGAATATAACTTATTTGAGCCCGAACACAGATCTTTGAGAGATACCACTAATTACATTCCATCAATTAGAGTACCTTCCCATTATCCCTGTTCTATGTCGCTTCCCACTCAGCCAATTTTCTAACCAGGTCAATAATTTACCTTCAGTTCCATATGCTTCCATTTTATTGCATTAACAAGAGTCATTTAAGTTTCCAATGACTGCTCATGAAGAACTCAGTGTTAATCCAAAACACTAGCTTACAAAACAGGAGGCCATTTAGCCATTGTACCTCTTTGAAAGAGCTATGTACTGCACCTCCTTCCACTTCCCAACTCTTTTCTCATATCTAATTCTCTTTTAAATTTTAGTTCTAAATCTGAATTCACCACCTCCTGAAACAATGCTTTCCTGTTCACAATAACTCAGTTTAGAAGTAATTCCCCTCAGCTCCTGATTCAAATAATTGTGCAAACAAGTTTTAAAAATGTTTGATTTTTGGAGGGAGAAGGATATGAAAACCTTAAAATAAAAAGTTTTTTCTCAAAAGGTATGTTTACACAGTAGTGAATATCTCATCCATTAAAGAGGCTTTCAATCACATCTGATATGCCAGGATGTTAATTATAACAGATCTCCTTGGTGAATGAAACACACATACAGGGGACAGAAGGAACACAACATTCAAATGATCACATGGTGATTCACTATTTGCAAAAAGTTTCAATTAATTTTATCATAACATGCAGAGAAGTCTCTCTGGTATTTGTGTGTCAGGCCTAGCTCAGTTAGGAATGTTCTTGAATTCTTGACTATAAGCCAGAAAGTGACAGATTCAAAATCAGGCTATAGAGTGCTGCACTGTTGGACATGCTGTCTTTCTGATTAGTCAATATGCTACGGACCTTTTTTGTCCCTTCACATGGGCACAAGTGATCCCACTGCACTGTTTCTATTATGTCAAAAAGTGGATGAGCTGGTCATTTACTTGATTGCTGTACGTGGGATCTGGATGTGCACACATTTGTTACCATCTTTTCTGTATTACAAAATTAAAAAACAAGTCTTTTCTTCCCGGGAAAACCACAAAAGGGGCAATTATTTAGTTTCTGCATGTAATTTTTGTTAGAAATATTTAATGAGTCTTTTTAGAAGAAATTGAAATGAAATCAGTTCTGACTGCCAGTCAACACCTTCAAGAGCTTCACCTTGTGGTTGAAACAGGACAGATCCCACTGACACTAGTTGCAATAGGCAGATCAGCACAAATTTTACTAGTCTGGAGGTAACACTGGATCTGTCTCCAGAGAAGGGAGTGGGGCAAATGCAGAGAAACCTGGATAAGTAAATTAGTATATAGTCACAGTAGTTGACAGTCCCGAAAAGATGTGAAATGTCACTGACACAGTATTCAGAAAGTTCGGGAAAAGCCTACAACTAATTGCACTGAACTGACTCTCAGCTGGTCAGGAGGCTAAAAGTTAAATCTACTCAGAATGCCCAGCCTTTAGCTATTTACTTCAAAGGGTAGAAAAATATATCTTTGATAACAGAAATTTTAGCACAGGGCTGGTATATGTCTTTCTTGCTTGTGTGTTAAATTAATGTTCCTCCAGAATCTGTTTTTATGCTCACATTTCTTGCTGTCTTTACCATGCAACAAAATAATTTGCACGTTAATAAATATTAACAATTGTACACTTAGAATTTTGCAAAATATCCCAAGATTCTTTACAGGATTGCAATGATAAAAATTCGACAATGACTCAAGGAACCATTGGCCTGAACAGAAAAATCTCAGCTTTAATATACGTCCTTCAATTTTTACAGATGTTTGCATCTGCACACTAATAACTCTTACTCTTCCAGGCAGAGAAAATTGTCATGCAGGGTAAATGTTCATTTGCTTTGTTCTTGCATCCAAAATGTATCATTTTCTGTAAGTAAAGAAACGCTTGCATCGATATAGCAACTTTCATGGCTTCAGAAATAATATCCAAGTCACTTTGCAGTCAAAATGAAATATATTGGCCTGTTACACACAATAAGCTCCCCAAATACTAAGAATAATGATAGCCCAGATAATATGGTTTACCATTGTTGGTTGAAGAATACATGCTGGTCAGGATAGTTGTGGGGAACTCTCCATTCCTTCTTGGAATCATGCCACGGGATCTTTTATATCTACCCAAGAAGGCAGGCAGAGACCTCAATTTAACATTGCTGTCCGATTGGAAGAGCCATCTGTCAGATTTCATTTAATACCACACTGGAAATTCAATTTAGAGTTTGCATTAACCTGCATCTGCCACCTACTGGCCTGTTTCCCTATTTTGATTATGTCCGTCTGCATTCTGTCTGACAGTTTGCTATTCCATGCACTTGATATTATCAGCAAACTTAGATATTAATGCTCCAAGTCTGATTTCTAACACCATCCACCGTGCTGATCACTCTTTTGCTCAATTGCTTAGCCTTTCCTGATATCAGTCACAAACTTACCTTTTACAAATTTCAACCTGACTCATCTTGTAACTCAACTTTTATAGGTTGATTTGAAGCAATGTCTTATTCTATTTACCTTAAGGTGCAAAACCTAGCCTCAGCAAGCTGTCCTTGAGTCAGAGGTTGTAGCTTGAAACTCCCAGTGAATGCTGCACTGCCGGAGAGGGACAGTAAACTAACAGCCTACCTGCCCTCTGAGGTGAATGTAAAAGATCCCTTAGCGTTATTTTGATTTAATCAATTAGCTGTCCCTGGTTTCCAATACAATATTTATCCCTTAATCAGCATAACTAAAACACATTAGCTGACTATTATATCAATGCTGTTTGTGGGAGCTTGCTGTGCATGAATTAACAGATAGGCTTTCTATATTACATTATTGACTTCACTTCAAAAGTATTTTAAAGGCTGTGATGTGCTTTGTGGTATCATGAGACCATGAAAATGCTACATAAATGCTAGTCTTTCTTTCTATAACTGTAATTTTTAAGATCATCAGAACGGTGGTATAATATATTCAGGAGTTATGCCAAAAAAGGTTCACTATGCTTATTGTACTCCATCAACAGTGCTGTGTACAATACCAGAAAAGGCCACATGCTAATCAAAACAGTCCTTCTACAGTGTATCTATGACAATGCCAAATAAAGACTCCTCCGCACCTAAGACACTCATTTCCTTAATACCCATGTGAATCAAACAGACTGTTAAATCTCTACAACCAGGAGCTCAGTTCCTCTATAGATATTGGTTCAGTACATTTCTAAAGGCATCAAGTCACCCAGAACAGGCAGCTTGTTCCAACACTATCTGTTGTAGCATCTTATCTGGTCACTTTTCATTTCAAATTGTGCTTGATGTTTTGACATTTCCATCCTTGCTGTTTAATGCTAACAAACCTACTTATCATTACTTTTCATTGTTCAGAGAAACAGCATCACAGCCTTCGCCAGTCTTTCCTTCTCCTGCAGTTAGACCATTCTACCCCACTGAGGCACCCAGTGAAGTTCCTCTGTCATAGGGTTGTCTCATTAATGTCACCACACACAAAATATTGACCAAAATTCCTTCTTCTGTTGACTGATGAACCGACAAGATGTAATGAAATTCTTGCTGGCAGGAGTATACGTGTGCAGCATGGAAACAAACACCAGTCCCATGGAGTTCAAATCAAACATCAAGTTATGTAATTACATAACAATCATATCATAGATTTCGCAGAATCCCTACAGTGCAGATAGAGGCCATTCGGCCCACCAAGCCTTCACCAATCATTCGAACAGCATCCCCACACCATCCTATCCCCGTAACCCCTCATTCATCATGGCTAATCCCCCTAGCCTGCCCAACCTTGGACACTATGGGGTAATTTAGCATGGCCAATCTACCTAACCTGACATCTTTGTACTCTGAAATCAGAGCACCCAGAAGAAACCCAGCAGACACCAGGAGACTATGCAAACTCCACAAAGACAGTCACCCAAGGCTGGAATTGAACCTAGGTCCCTGGCACTGTGATGCAGCAGTGCTAGCCAATGAGCCACAGTGCTGCCCTAAGCAAGAATGATTTATCTCTTTCAAAAGAGCTAGCAGTAAAACAAAGGGCTGAATGGCCTCATGTATTGTTCGACCATTTTATAAACTGAGAGTATTCTTTTTCTCTCTGTTAAGGTATTGCCATGGTTCGTACATAGATTTAGAAACAGAATTATAGGCCAAAATCTATTTACACATGCTCCTTAGATTCTCTATGGGGTAGAGAGCCCACAGGAATTGGCAGCTCCTTCATGAAAATTTAGACTTTAGGAGGATGTGGAAGGTACTAAAGGATTGGATGTTCTTTTTTTTAACCTAACAACATTTGCTGTGCTGAAATTTTTATTTTTGAATCAGCAGGTCATAACTTAAGCCACACTTCAAAATCATGCCCATACAATCCATGCTGACACTTCAGCACAATACTGAAACAGTGCTACACTATCAAAAGTCCTGTCTTTCAGAAGAGACATGAAATCGAGGTCCAATCTGCACTGTTAACTGGACTTAAAAGCACACGTGCTACTGTTTGAGGAAGAGCAGAAGTGTAATGCACAAACTGGGCAGTAATTTCCAACGGTACAACGGTGACTACACCTCCAAAGTACTTCACTGCCTGTGCTGGGCTTTAAGACATCCTGATGTCAGGCGAGGTTGGCAGACTCATCATCTCCTGACCAACCTTACTTAGAGTTCAAGAGTTAAATCAAAAGATTCCCCCACCTCCTGCCACGTACTCACTGAGCTACCTTTTTGAATAGCAATGAGATACCATACTCACCAGGGAGGCTGCCTTTGTGGTGCACTGGGTGGGATGAAGAGTGGGTTGGTGCCCGCATGTGGTTGAGCACCTGGACCAGACCGAATTGATTTTTTTCCTTTCTGATGCCCTCCTCCAGCTCGCTGCTTTGTGCCAACTAAAGGAGAAACTATTGCTGATTCAATATGATGCCGCAACTCCTCTTCCTTCTTGAAGACTCTGTTCGAGGGAAAAGGGGTAGAAAAACATTTTCATTAAAGCAGCAAAACATAGTTCTGAAAAAATGAGCTAAGTGGCAACTGTGCAGGGTATTTCTAATATGGCTGAGGGAAATGATTTGTATATCTTTGCAGATTGATACAGCAGAAATGGAATCCATTTGGCCTATAATACCTGTGCAGGCTGTATGGCTATGCTATCCAATTGGTCCCATTAGCCCTGCAAATTTCTTTTTGAATGTTAGCATTGAATCTGCTTTCACCACCCTTTCAGATAGTGCATTCAACATGGGTACAAATTACTGTTTACAAAAAACCTAGTTCTCATCTCCTCTCCATTATGTTAAATCTGGACCCTCTAGTTACCAAGCCTCTTGCCACCGAAAACCATTCACAACTTTTAATGCCTTTATTACACTTCTGCTTAACCATCACTTCCCTAAAGAGAATATCATCACGTCCCCATCGGTGAAGTTATCCTTAGTACTAGCTAAAAACCTCCTCCCAGTCATAATGTGGATTCCACACATCAAGGGGCACAATGGACAAGATCTTTACAGCAAGACAAGACCAAGAAAATGCAGACAGCAACAACCTTTACACCTGGTCTAATCTAACATCACAAGTATCTTCAAAGGGAGGAATTAAACAGCAATTTATCTAAATATAGCTGCACACAGAAATTTGTCATGATTCTCTGCCTACAGCATGACAATGTGCATGACGTGATCCTTACCAACAGATCCACTACAGAAACTGTGTGTTTAAATGGAGGTCAAGCAAGACTCTTCAAACCAATGCTCTCCAGATGTCCATGAAATTTCCTACTGGAGTTGAACTTCTCTACAGGATGAGTGGGCAACTGCATCATGGTTAACCTGCATCAACTTCCAGTTCAGAACCAAGACCACACCAACTTCAGTCATCATATTGCAGTATGCAGATGATGCTTGTATGCACGCACACTCAGAAGCTGAGCTCCAAATTGTTGTCAACACATTCACCAAGGCATATAAGAGGTTGAGCCTTAGGGCTAAGCCCACAAGACAGAGATCCTCTACCAGCCTGTTCCTGTGGCACAGCAGTGTCCCCAGCTATTAAGATCCACAGCAAGCCACTGGGCAACAAGGATCAATTCTATACCTCCGGAGAAAAACCTCAAAGAGCTGCGAATGCTGGAAATTAGAATCAAAAACAGAAATTGCTGGGAAAATTCAGCAGATCTGCAGCACCTGTGGAGAGAAAGCAGAGTTAACATTTTGGGTCCAGTTCTGAAAAAGGGTCACTGGATCCAAAATGGTAACTGTGCTTTCTCAGCACAAATGCTGCCAGACCTGCTAAGTTTTCCCAAAAAGTTCTGTTTTTATTTCCCATACCTTGGGAGCTTCCTTTCAATACGTCCAGACATTGATGATGAAATTCAACATTGCCTCAATGTATCAGCTCGGCTTTGGCTATCTAACCGAAACAGGTTTGATAACAAAGACCTCAGACCTAACACCAAGCTCCTGGTCTACAGGGCAGCAGTGTTACCTGCCCTTCTGTATGCATCGGAAACATGAACAATGTACAACAGACATAGAACATTACAGCGCAGTACAGGCCCTTCGGCCCTCGATGCTGCGCCAACCTGTGAAACCAATCTGAAGTCCATCTAACCTACACTATTCCATTATCATCCATATGTTTATCCAATGACCATTTAAATGCCCTTAAAGTTGGCGAGTCTACTACTGTTGCAGGCAGGGCATTCCACGCCCTTACTACTCTGAGTAAAGAACCTACCTCTGACATCTGTCCTATATCTATCACCTTTCAATTTAAAACTATGTCCCCTCGTGCTAGCCATCACCAGCCAAGGAAAAAGGCTCTCGCTGTCCACCCTATCTAATCCTCTGATCATCTTGTATGTCTCTATTAAGTCACCTCTTAACCTTCTTCTCTCTAAGGAAAACAGCCTCAAGTCCCTCAGCCTTTCCTCATAAGACCTTCCCTCCATACCAGGCAACATCCTGGTAAATCTCCTCTGCACCCTTTCCAATGCTTCCACATCCTTCCTATATTGCGGCGACGAGAACTGTACGCAATACGCCAAGTGCGGCCGCACCAGAGTTTTGTACAGCTGCAACATGACCTCATGGCTCCGAAACTCAATCCCTCTACCAATAAAACCTAACACACTGTACGCCTTCTTAACAACCCTATCAACCTGGGTGGCAACTTTCAGTGATCTATGCACATGGACACCGAGATCTCTCTGCTCATCCACACTACCAAGAATCTTACCATTAGCCCAGTACTCTGTATTCCTGTTACTCCTTCCAAAGTGAATCACCTCACACTTTTCTGCATTAAACTCCATTTGCCATCTCTCAGCCCAGCTCTGCAGCTTATCTATGTCCCTCTGTAACCTGCAACATCCTTCCGCACTATCCACAACTCCACCGACTTTAGTGTCATCTGCAAATTTACTAACCCATCCTTCTATGCCCTCATCCAGGTCATTTATAAAAATGACAAACAGCAGTGGCCCCAAAACAGATTCTTGCGGTATACCACTAGTAACTGAACTCCAGGATGAACATTTCCCATCAACCACCACCCTCTGTCTTCTTACAGTTAGCCAATTTCTGATCCAAACCGCTAAATCACCCTCAATCCCATGCGTCCGTATTTTCTGCAATAGCCTACTGTGGGGAACCTTATCAAACGCTTTACTGAAATCCATATACACCACATCAACCGCTTTACCCTCATCCACCTGTTTGGTCACCTTCTCAAAGAACTCAATAAGGTTTGTGAGGCACGACCGACCCTTCACAAAACCGTGTTGACTATCCCTAATCAAATTATTCCTTTTTACATGATTATAAATCCTATCTCTTATAATCCTTTCCAACACTTTACCCACAACCGAAGTAAGGCTCACCGGTCTATAATTACCAGGGTTGTCTCTACTCCCTTTCTTGAACAAGGGGACAACATTTGCTATCCTCCAGTCTTCTGGTACTATTCCTGTAGACATAAAGATCAAAGCCAAAGGCTCTGCAATCTCCTCCCTAGCTTCCCAGAGAATCCTAGGATAAATCCCATCCGGCCCAGGGGACTTATCTATTTTCACACTTTCCAGAATTGCTAACCCCTCCTCCCGTCTAGTCTAATAGACTGTATCTCAGTATTCTCCTCGACAACACTGTCTTTTTCCTGTGTGAATACTGATGAAAAATATTCATTTAGCGCCTCTCCTATCTCTTCGGACTCCACGCACAACTTCCCACTACTGTCATTCTTTTATTCATGACATACCTATAGAAAGCCTTAGGGTTTTCCTTGATCCTACCTGCTAAAGACTTCTCATGTTCCCTCCTGGCTCTTCTTAGCTCTCTTTTCAGGTCCTTCCTGGCTAACTTGTAACTCTCAAGCACCCTAACTGAGCCTTCACGCCTCATCTCTACATAAGCCTCCTTCTTCCACTTGACAAGAGATTCAACTTCTTTAGTAAACCTCGCTCGACCACTTTCTCCCTGCCTGACAGGTACATACTTATCAAGGACACGCAGTAGCTGTTCCTTGAACAAGCTCCACATTTCAATTGTGCCCAGCCCCTGCAGTTTCCTTCTCCATCCTATGCATCCTAAATCTTGCCTAATCGCCTCATAATTGCCTTTCCCATAGCTATAACTCTTTCCCTGCGGTACATACCTATCCCTTTGCATCGCTAAAGTAAACGTAACCGAATTGTGGTCACTATCACCAAAGTGCTCAGCTACCTCCAAATCTAACACCTGGTCTGGTTCATTACCCAGTACCAAATCCAATGTGGCCTCGCCTCTTGTTGGCCTATCTACATACTGCGCCAGGAAACCCTCCTGCACACATTGGACAAAAACTGACCCATCTAAAGTATTCGAACTATAGCGTTTCCAGTCAATATTTGGAAAGTTAAAGTCCCCCATAACAACTACCCTGTTACTTTCGCTCCTATCCAGAATCATCTTTGCAATCCTTTCCTTTACATCTCTGGAACTTTTTGGAGGCCTATAGAAAACTCCCAACAGGGTGACCTCTCCTTTCCTGTTTCTAACCTCAGTCCATACCACCTCAGTTGACGAGTCCTCATCAAACGTCCTTTCTGCCACCGTAATACTGTCCTTGACTAACAATGCCGCACCTCCCCCTCTTTTACCATCTTCCCTGATCGTACTGAAACATCTAAACCTCGGAACCTGCAACAACTATTCCTGTCCCTGCTCTATCCATGTCTCCGAAATGGCCACAACATCGAAGTCCCAGGTACCAACCCATGCTGCAAGTTCACCCACCTTATTCCGGATGCTCCTGGCGTTGAAGTAGATACACTTCAAACCATCTTCCTGCCTGCCGGTACATTCCTGCGACCTTGAAACCTTATTCATGACCTCACTACTCTCAACCTCCTGTACACTGGAGCTACAATTCGGGTTCCCATCCCCCTGCTGCATTAGTTTAAACCCTCCCGACATCCCAGATTCCTAGTAAAATATATCAGAAGTGAATGCTTCAGCAAAATCCTGCAAATCCAATGGCATGGTAAATGTTTCTGTATCAAAGACCTCTCAGGCAAATGTTCCCAGCACAGAAGCTTTGGTTAATCTGCGTTGGGCATGACACATCATCCACATGCATGACAGAAGACTTCCAAACCCAACTTTCTGCTCCTAACTCCATCATGGCATGTAGTTACCAGAAGGGCTGAGAAAACACTTCAAAGATATACTCAAAGCCTCACTGGAAATCTCTTGCCCATGATGGCGCAAATGTGAAAAGATGCATCTGAAAAGCTGCCAACCATCTCAAGTATCTCTGACAATTCATGCTGGAGGCCAAGCACAAACAGCAAAGTATATAAAAAAACCCAAGCATCCCACCCACTACCACTTGAAAACTGCCTGTTTAGTGATCACAGGACCCACAACTTTGGAGTGAAAGAAAGTCATTCTCAGTCTCAAGTAACTGCCTAAGAAGTAGACTAT